CCAGGTCCTTCCCTTTCAATCCCTGTTGGTATCATTATGATGCCCTGAGGAGTGGGGGGCATGTGGGAATGGTGGTAAGGTGGAGAGGGGGTGTGGATTAACAAGGAGTGGTTGGGAAGAACTGAGTAACTGCAGACTTCGTGACTCTGGTTTCAGAGTTTCTGATTTAGGCTGACAGAGGCCCAGGAATCTGCATTTTAAATAGGCCCGAAAGTGACTCTGAGGCAGGGGTCAGTCGTGGATCACTGGATATGAAACACTGGGCTGGGGAGTGGAGGAAGAGAAGATGAAAGAATTGACAGGAGGGGAGGGAATTTTTTCTGAATCATCTTTACCCTCCTGAGACAGTATGGTAGCTGTTGTGTGTCCTGCAGACATGGCTTACCTGGGCCTGCATCTCCAGGTAATGAGCAGGGGATGGGGTAGGGAGTGGGGCTAGGGAAAGTGCAAAAGATTCCTTCCGGCCAGAGAGGAAAGCCCACCAACCAGCACACTCCGTGGTGCTCATCATCACCTCTCCTAAGTGCTGCTCTGGCATCGGTGCTCCGGGCCTCTTCAGTGCTACTCCTTCAAGATGCATTCCTCTCTCACCCACCTCCACCCTGTGATAGCCAAGGAATCCTTCTATGAGCTGGAGTCAGAAGGAGATGGAGGTGTCCTGAGCCCAGGCTTCTCCAAGCCTGTGAGTAAAGAGAAGTTTGTTTGGAGGGGCCCTATTTCCTGCCTCCATAGCAACCCCCTGGAACAGTAAGGGTGTGCAGTGGGCTTTAATTAAACTGATTCAGTCACAAGAGCCCAGTCAGCTCTGGTGTGTCTGCCTTCTGAAGGCCTGGTCTGTTGGTGGGTCATGCTGGGCAGACAGGTGCTGTGGGGGCAAGTAGCCCTCGTACAGCTTCAGAACCAAGCCTGTGCCCAACTGGAACCCCTGACCAGTTGGGTTTTCTCTGTATGTTCTTCATGCCTTTACCACCGTGTGGCCCAGAGTGACGGAGAGGCCACGTGTGTGCACCATGCAATGTATCAGACGCCGAGGATCGAGGGCAAGGGCCAGACACTGTCCTCGGTGCTGGTGGTACAGAGAGGCAGGAAGTTTTCTTGCCAACAGGCTTGGCTTTAGCCCTTGAGGCTTTCAGTGACAGGGCCTTGAGGAGGAAGGTATGTCTACAGAAGCTGCCTGGGACCCCACTGGACCCCAGCATCACGCAGCCACCTGGAAGAGAATGGGGCACCCGTGGCTGATGGGTTCCAGGCTGGTTTCTCAGGATGGATGTGACAGTGGGAAGAGAGATGGGGATGGGGGCTGTGGCTCTGAGACGGGCATGTGCTTCCCTCCAGGGCCTGTGTGAAATGATCCACCAGGAATGGGGAGAGAACACTGAAGCTCTTATGATACTGGCTGTTAATGCCCTTATATTTGTGTGTGTGTGTGTGTGTGTGTGTGTTAGTCGCTCAGTTGTGTCTGACTCTTGGCGACTGCATGAACAGTTTGCCCACCAGGCTCCTCTGTCCATGAAATTCTCTAGGCAGAGATACTGGAGTGGATAGCCTTTCCCTTCTCCAGGGGATCTTCCCAACCCAGGGATCGAACCTGGGTCTCCTGCATTGCAGGCAGATTCTTTATCATTTATGGTACATTTTAAAGAGAAGAAAATGTTGATCCAATAGTAAACTGTTTGCAGTTTATGAATGAATGAATGAATGAGTGAATGTCAGAGATATATGCCTGATTATTTCTCCTGTATCGCTTTGGATGTACATTATGAAATAAATTTGCTTCCATTGGTCCAGATTGTCAGTGGAGTGCTTGAAGCTCTCGTCCCTGGAGTCCAGGTTGGATGGGGAGTGAAGCCAAACCACAAGAGAGCTGAGAGAATGAGGGGATATGGATAGAATGGGGTGGAAGGTGGAGGACACCACTTGTGGGATGATGCTAAGTTATTCCAAAGTCAGATTTGTAACCAGGGGAGGAAGGGAATGAAGCGGGGAGGGTAGTGGTGGTCCATGTGGATATGGAAGTGCCATGTTGATGGGAGGATCTAGGATAGAAAAGAAGGTGGTAAGCCACCAAGATGCCAGTGGGAGGTTTGGGGGCAGGAGTGGGCTTCCCTGATAGCTCAGTTGGTAAAGAATCCACCTGCAATGCGGTAGACCCTGGTTCAATTCCTGGACTGGGAAGATCTGCTGGAGAAGGGATAGGCTATCCACTCCACTATTCTTGGGCTTCCCTTGTGGTTCAGCTGCTAAAGAATCCGCCTGCAATGTGGGAGACCTGGGTTTGATCCCTGGCTTAGGAAGATCCCCTGAAGAAGGGAAAGGCTACCCACTCCAGTATTCTTGGCCTGGAGAATTCCATGGACTGTGTAGTGCATGGGGTTACAAGGAGTCAGACACAACTGAGCGACTTTCACTCACTCACAGTGGGCGAACAGGTGGTGTGAGGAGGGAAGGAGGGATTTACATGAAGGTGGAAGAGCAGTGTTGTCTCCAAGGGGTCAAGAGGGCACAGATCCTCCCTCCCCATCCCTGGGAGTCTGGGAGCAGTGGAGTGGGATGGTGAGTTCATGGCTGAGAGAACCAGACTCTAAAGGAAACAGGAAGAGAAAGGAGTGCTCCCCCCACTAAAGTCAAGGGAGGATTTCTCACCATTGAACAGAGGTTTCAGAGGGTACAATAGGAGTAGGTGTTGGTGGAGCAAATGAGACAGGCTGGAGGTGAGTCTGTGGGGAAAGAGGTCACACTGCCCACACTCAGGGCTCACCCCTCTGCACCACGGGTGTGCTGATTTCAAATACTCTATTGGGTGGGCTGTGGAATAAATTTTGTAAGCATAGCTGGCATTTTTTTAAAGAAGAACATACAAATGTCTTTTCATTCAAAAACACAAAATATGTTGTCTGTGGGCGTGCACCATGACAGCCATAAACCATCAGGCACTTTGTCAACTGATACCCCTAACTGAAACCTATAACCTTTTCTTTGGTCTTTTTTTTTTTTCAAGTGATTTCTCTGAAGTTACTGGTGAGAAACACAGTTCTGAGCTTCCTGTAACAGTTCATTAATAGTGATAATGCACTCTTTCAGGAATGAGAACACACCACTTCCACACCACCTCCACCCACTCTGGCCACACAGGCTCCTCCCCCTCTTCAGTATCTTTGCTACAACTTCCGCTGTGTTTCACACAGCAGGAGCAGCCACGAGGCAGCTCTCGGTACCTTAGTAGGACCTGTGATGCCTTTTTTTTTTTTACCCTAGGCATATCTCCAAGCAGAGCATCACAACCAGCTTCTGAATGGCTTTGTTGAACGTTCTCAGGGGTCAAAAATCCTTCTAACTGTTACTTTGGGCAAGATTATGTTATTGCAGACATTTTGAATATTTAACAAAGATAATTTCTATAGCAGTTTAAAAAAAAATTCTATTGGATTTGGTGAGTCCAAAGCTGGAATATGCTGCACCCAAGCCAGACCACCTCCTAGAAAGATGCCTTCTTCACAAGCAGCTGGGCAGCACTGAATGCATCTGAAACTCTTCTCTTTCATTCCACCCCACATGTTCCACCAGCCTTCAGCATGGCTGTTGCATCTGATTGTTTTATAGTATGTTCACTCAGTTCTTCCTCTTCATGCCCACTGACAGCAGCCTTTCTTGATTATGATTTTCAATTTGTGACTGATCGCCTTTTCCTTTCAAGAGCAGAGACTCATCTTTAACCTCAAAGACTTCTCCTTTTCTGAGGCTGAACATCTTCAGGATTTAGGGTCAACTCCTCCTCTCTAAACACCTGCGAAAGCGTTTAAAAATGCGTCAGTTCCAGGGCGTAGTTTTCCTTTATTATACAAAATTTATTCATAATACATTATGCAGGTGTTTTGATGAGAATCCAGAAACATCTTGAGACACCATATTTCTCTGAAATGTGAGAATTTAAAACCATTGCTGTTCCAGGACAAGTCTTGTGAATAGAGCTTTTTATTGCATTCATTTGCATTATTGTGTTCCCTCCTCAGAACTCTTGTCAATTAACAACAGCTTGATCTTGCAGTTGAGATAGCAGAACCCAGAGAAAATTCACCCCAAGTCACACACTTGCAAGATGGTGGAGCCAGGACTAGACCCAGTGCTCTATGTTAGATCATTCTGCCTTTTCAGAATTAAGGACAGATCAGACAATAAGCTTATTCCTGATCGGGCATGTGACAGGTTCGAGCTGGAGGGGACCCTTCTCTATACCTATATCAACTCCACCTTCCTAGATATTCAGTAGATGTATCTAATTAGGAAAAATGCAAATTATTTGACTGTGTACCTATAAATATTATCCCTGGAAAGAAAAGGAACATTTGGTAAATGTGGGAAAAAAAAATGGGGAAAATTTGCATGTTATCCTTGTGTAGGGGCCATGTTAATCTTCTCTGTATTGTTCCAGTTTTAGTAACATGCTGCCAAGCAATCTCCAGGCTCTTTTAAAACGAATATACTATAAGAGAAAATACTAGAGTATATCACATATAGTAAAGATAACTATTGTTTTACGAGATTTTGTGTTAGTTGGGCATATCTGTAGATAATGTAGGTGATGATGTAAAATGTATTCCATACTGTGTGGATTATGCTAACAAATGTTGAAAGGTCACGGGTACGGCAGAAAGATCATTAGAAAGTGGCTTCAGTGACTTGATTGCTGTCATTACTCTGCCAATAACCGCCTACATGAGCATGGCCAAGAAACTTACACCCTCAGGGCTTCCACTTCGTTATCTTTAAAAGGAGCAGGTCCAACGACATGTTTTTGAGATTCCCTTCCTCTAAGATTGTCTCATTCTGGCAATTCTTTCATGGTACCAGCAAGACACAAAAGCCTTCCGAATGAGAATTGGTGGGTGGTGGGCGGTGGTTGGAGCAGGAAGTTGACACGAGCCAGGTGCAGTCCCCCAACTTTGCCCACAGCAGCTGCTGCCCTGGTGCTCACTACTGTTGCTTGTCGTCTTTGCTGGTAGCACCCCGACCTGCTGCTGCCGCAAGGGTGTGAATGATCGCCACGGCCGAATCCCAGTTGGAGCCTGTGGGCAGCCGTGGAGGTGAGGGCTGCCAAACACACACACCTGGTACCACCCTTGGCACTGCTGGGCGCTCCGGCGCTGTTCTTGATGACAGGCCTGATAAACATTCCAAGGCGGGAGCAAAGAAAATGCAGCGTAAATAGAACAAGTTGAAACCAAGGAGCCATTTTCCCTTTACAGCTGACATGGAGTAACAGAGACCTTCCTTAGAAAAGAAGAAGGAAGGGGAGCAATTTCAGAAAATATGTAGTGTAAAATGCTTAGTTCGACTGCTTTTCTGGTGTAAATGAGTACTTCATTTTGTGTAAAGAACAGGGACCTGTTATCACTTTTTACTCATTTGATGCATAAGATGCAAAGTTTTTTTCATGGTGGAGAATGACTCAAGAGGTTGCTTGCTTTCTGTTAATAGAGAAGACATCTTTGATACTGGCACACACACACAGGAGAGCTGATAAATACATTAAAGGCATAAATTATTTAATGGTCCTCTGACAACATGCACTGCAACAAGAAATGAGATGCATCAGTGTGATAGGCATGCATATGTAGAAATTAAGGGAGTATTTTTTTTTTTTTGCTCAGGTAGCAACATGCCAGAAAACATTCTGCCTTTGAAGAACAAAAGTACAAAGATGCTCTGACAACTGAAGGTTATAGTTCTGCACCACTGCTTATCATGCGCTGCATTTGGAAATAGGGCCGGAGTAGACAGTCACCTTCCCCAGCCTATTTCTTTAGCACCGTCCCATTGAGCGTCACCTGCTGGGTAAGACTTAACAAGATGTGTCTGTTGGCCTGCACAAGACCTGGCTGACTTGAGCCCTGAGTGTCAGGAAGCAGATCAAAAGTGGGCTTTGTGATGGTCGAACCCTGTGTACTTTTAAAGAAAGAAATGAATAATTTAACTCATTTTAGTATTTGCGGAGGGCACTGAGCTGACAGCTCTGGGGCCCTAGGCCTGAGTGCTGCCCAGGTGCATCATGGGTATGAACATGGAAATGACCTGGTCCAGCCCCACAGATGCACCTCTTACAGTCGCTGCTGTCACTCCAGCTAGACTGAGGAGAAAAGGCATCCTAGTCCCAGCATGATCCTGGCTCTGCAGGAGGCACTGTTGGACGGTGTTGGGAGGAGATGCGCTTGCTGGACTCTCCTTTTATTATTTTATTTTATTTAAAAAGTTATTTTTAAATTTGGCTGTGCTGGGTCTTTGTGGGCTTCCCAGGTGTCTCAGTGGTAAAAGAAGCCACCTGCTAATGCAGGAGACATGGGTTCGATTTCTGGGTAGGGAAGATCCCCTGGAGAAGAAAGTGGCAACCCATTCCAGTATTCTCACCGAGAAAATCCCAGGAACAGGTGGGCCTGGTGGGCTACAGTCCACGGGATCACAGAGTTGGATACAACTGAGGGACTAACACTTTCACTTTCACTTTTATTGCTACCAGGTGCCTGACTCAAAACTCCTACTTTCTGTTCAGAGATACAGGATAATATTAAAACAGAATAATTGCTTCCAACGGTTATTTACATCACTGTGTGCATCACTTTTGGGCTTCCCTGGTAGCTTAGCTCGTAAAGAATCCACGTGCAACGCAGGAGACCCTGGTTCTATTCCTGGGTCAGGAAAATCCCCTGGAGAAGGGATAGGCCACCCTTTCCAGTATTCTTGGGCTTCCTTGGTGGCTCAGATGCTAAGGAATCTGCCTGCAATGCGGGAGACCTGGGTTTGATCCCTGGGTTGGGAAGATCCCCTGGAGAAGGAAATGGCTACCCACTCCAGTATTCTTGCCTGGAGAATCCCATGGACAGAGAAGCCTGGTCAGTCACAGTCCATGGGGTCACACAGAGTCAGACACAACTGAGCGACTAAGCACACACACTGAGTCTTTGTTGCTCTGTGTGGGCTCTTTGTTGCTGCCCATAGGGTTCTCTAGTTGTGGTTCGTGGGCTTAGTTGCCCTAAGGCATGTGGGATCTTAGTTCCCTGATCAGGGATTGAACCTGCGTCCCCTGCAGTGGAAGGCAGATTCTTTACCACTGGCCCACCAGGGAAGTCCTCAGTTCAGTTCAGTTCAGTTCAGTCGCTTAGTCGTGTCTGACTCTTTGCGACTCCATGGACTGCAGCACACCAGGCCCCCCTGTCCATTACCAACTCCTGGAGTTTACTCAGACTCATATCCATTGAGTCGGTGATGCCATCCAACCATCTCTGTTGTCCCCTTCTCCTCCCGCCTTCAATCTTTCCCGGCATCAGGGTCTTTTCAAATGAGTCAGTTCTTCACATCAGGTGGCCAAAGTATTGGAGTTTCAGCTTCAGCATCAGTCCTTCCAATGAATATTCATGACTGATCTCCTTTAGAATGGACTGGTTGGATCTCCTTGCAGTCCAAGGGACTCTCAAGAGTCTTTTCCAACACCACAGTTCAAAAGCATTAATTCTTCAGCACTCAGCTTTCTTTACAGTCCAACTCTCACATCCATACATGACTACTGGAAAAACCATAGCCTTGACTAGACGGACCTTTGTTGGCAAAGTAATGTCTCTGCTTTTTAATATGCTGCCTAGGTTGGTCATAACTTTTCTTCCAGGGAGTAAGTGTCTTTTAATTTTATGGCTGCAGTCACCATCTGCAGTGATTTTGGAGCCCCCCAAAACAAAGTCTGACACTGTTTCCACTGTCTCCCCATCTATTTTCCTTGAAGTGATGGGACCAGATGCCATGATCTTAGTTTTCTGAATATTGAGTTTTAAGCCAACTTTTTCACTTTCCTCTTTCACTTTCATCAAGTGGCTGGTTAGTTCTTCTTCGCTTTCTGCCATAAGGGTGGTGTCATCTGCCTATCTGAGGTTATTGATATTTCTCATGGCAATCTTGATTCCAGCTTGTGTTTCATTCAGCCCAGTGTTTCTCATGATGTACCCTGCATATAAGTTAAATCAGCAGGGTAACAATATGCAGCCTTTACATACTCCTTTCCCTATTTGGAACCAGTCTTTTTTCCACGTCCAATTCTAACTGTTGCTTCCTGACCTGCATACAGGTTTCTCAAGAGGCAGATCAGGTGGTCTGGTATTCCCATCTCTTTCAGAATTTTCCACAGTTTGTTGTGATACACACAGTCAAAAACTTTAGCATAGTCCATAAAGCAGAAATTGATGTTTTTCTAGAACTCTCTTGCTTTTTTGATGATTCAACAGATGTTGGCAATTTGATCTCTGGTTCCTCTGCCTTTTCTAAAACCAGCTTGAACATTTGGAAGTTCACGGTTCACGTAGTGTTGAAGCCTGGCTTGGAGAATTTTGAGCATTATTTTACTAGCATGTGAGATGAGTGCAATTGTACGGTAGTTTGAATATTCTTTGGCATTCCCTTTCTTTGGTATTGGAATGAAAACTGACCTTTTCCAGTGCAGTGGCCACTGCTGAGTTTTCCAAATTTGCTGGCATATTGAGTGCAGCACTTTCACAGCATCATCTTTTAGGATTTGAAATAGCTCAGCTGGAATTCCATCACATCCACTAGCTCTGCTCGTAGTGATGCTTCCTAAGGCCCAGTTGACTTCGCATTCCAGGATATCTGGCTCTCGGTGAGTGATCACACCGTGATTATCTGAGTCGTGAAGAACGTTTTTGTACAGTTCTTCTGTGTATTCTTGCCACCTCTTCTTAATATCTTCTGCTTCTGTTAGGTCCATACCATTTCTGTCCTTTATTGTGCCCTAGACATTCCTTTTGTATCGGTGACTGGGAGGTTTAAGAAATGAAAACCTTTCTGGTCGTGAGCCACCACAACCGGGTTTGAAGGCATGAGTCTAACGTGGGATGTGGGTGTAGCAACGTCTTCAGTGGCTACGTCTCCTTCCAAACAACAAAGACAAACAGAGGAATCCAGAACCAACACAAAAATACCTCCAAAGTCCTAATGACGGGAAAAGAAATGTCTGGCCCACGCTCACCATGTGGCTGTTACTTCCGTCTGTGGGCTGGGCCAGGGAGGCCCTCCTCGCTCCGTTGTCCCTGAGCATGGCCGTCGACTGGAAGTTTGGTGAGCTGGCGCGGGGATGGCTATATTTGGCCTCTGGAACGGCAGTTACTGAGATAGAGGGCGCAGCTTTGGATCATAGGGTTTGAGCCCCTACCAAAGGGAGGGAAAGCCACTCACCCAGCTGAGCAAGCCGGTGGGACAGCCCACCTGACCTGTTTGGCAGGGTCATGGGGAGGTCTGCAGGGGAACACTCCACACAGTTGCTGGGGGAGCTCAACTCAGCCCCACGGGCCTGCTGTCCCTGGCTGATCCGGCCAGGAGGGCTGGCATGGGCTCGGCTAACAGCACCCGCAAAGCGGGATTTGATTCAGGCTGCCTGTTCTGCTTCACTTAGCTTGCGGCAGTCTAGGCTGCCTCTTGGTATTGTATTCATGTAAGTTTCTCTCTTGTTTACTAGTTATTATTCACGTGGCCTGTGTTTGCAACTAGGCTCCCCAGTGGCTCAGTGGTAAAGAATCCACCTGCAATGCAGGAGACCTGGGTTTGATTCCTGGGTTGGGAAGATCCCCTGAGGAGGGCATGGCAACCCACTCCAGTATTCTTGCCTGGAGAATCCCATGGACAGAGGAGCCTGGTGGGTTCCAGTCCATGGGGTCACAAAGGGTCAGACACGACAGAAGCGACGACTTAGCACACAGCGCACACCCATGTTTGCTACAAGATTATGAGTGCTTTGGTTTTACCTTTATGACCCACAAAGCTTCCACATGCAAGGATGTTTTAAATATCAAACATATGCTAGGTTGTCCTCCCCTTTTTTGCTTTGGGTTATGTATATATAGAATAAATTATTAAATCTTCAGTTGTGTTATAAAAAAGAATGACACTCGAGTCATGAAAGAAAAACAAGATTATTGTTTAAGAATATACCACTAAAATATGCATTTTGTAAGGCTCATTGATTTATTTCCAATTGGAGAAACCACATAGACATACAAAATGGTTCATTTGATATTCATTATACCTCCTT